CAGTTGATGGTTTAGGGCTAACTACAAAGCAAGAAAAAAATGTTATATTTCAAGAAAGCAAGCTAGAGGGGATTTTTAAGTGGCTACGGTGTATTGGTCCATTTTTGTTGCTTATAACTAAATACCTGGAACTGGGTAATTTATAAAGAAAATGAAATTTATTGCTTACAGTTCCTGTGGCTGGGAAGTCCAAAGTTCATCTGGCAGTGGCAATAATGACACAGGGATCTCATATTGCAAGATGGTGGAAGCAGAGAGACTCTCCTCTTCTTTTAAAGCCCTCAGAAACATGGCCCTGACCACCATTTTTAATCCATTCACTACGGCATAGTCCTACAACCTAATCACCCCTTCAAACCTCCACCTTTCAATTACCATAATAGGATATCCCACCCTCTTAACAGTCACAGTGGGGGCCAAGTTTCTAATACATAAAACTTGGAGGATACAATTCAAGCTTCAGTGAGTTTTGGGGGGATGTAATTCAGTCCACTACATTCCACTCCAGACCCCCCAAAACACGTCCTTTTCACATGCAAATACATTCACTTCATCCCCAAAGTCTTAACTTGTTTCAACTCAAAAGTCCAAAGTTCAAAGTTCCATCTGTGAAATCAAAAGAAGTTATCTACTTCCAAGATACAATGGTGGGACATGCACAGGGTACATATTCCTGTTCAAAAAGGGAGAAACAGGCCAAAAGAAAGGTGTAACTGGTCCTAAACAAGTCTGAAACCCAGCAGGGCAGGTGTTAAATCTCAAAACTGGCAAATCTTGTACATTGACAACTACATGTTCAACGTCCTCTGCACACTGGTGTGGGGTTGGGTCCTCAAGTCCTCAGGCAGTTCCTTTTCTATGGCTTTCCTGGTCTCAGTTGATGCTTTAGCTCTCCTAGGCTGGTGTTCCACCCTGGTAGCTTCACAAATCTGGGATTTCTGTGGCAGTCCCACCCCCACGGCTCCACTAGGCATGGCGCTGGTGGGGTTTCTCTGCTGCAACTCTGACACCATGTTTCCACTTGGCATTGCTCCAGCAAAGGCTGTCTGTGGTGACCTTGCCCCTGCAACACTCTTCCTGGGCCCCCAGACTTCTCCATACATCATTTGAAATTGGGATGTAGGCTCCCAAGCCTCCACAGCTCTGACATTCTACCAGTCTGAAGACTTACCACCACATAGATGCCACGAAGGCTTCTGGCTTGTATCTTCCAAAGTTATGGGTCCAGCCACACCTAGAACTAATTTATCCATGGCTGGAGCAGCCAAAGCAGCCAGGATGCTGGTGCTGAAACAGCTTTTTGAGGTGGCCCTGGGCATTGAGCCCATGGAGGGCACCTTAGGCCTGTTCCCCAAGACCATTTTGTCTCCCTAGGCCTTTGGGCCTGAAATAGAAGGGTTGGCCTCAGAGGCTTCTGCAATGCCTTCAGGGCCTTTTTCTCATTCTCTTGACACTCTCTTTCTTTTGCACTAATCTTCTTAGTTAATGGTCTCTGGGCTGCACCATTGCATGCTCTCTGCTTCTTTACAAGGCCAGGCTGCAAATTTTCTAAATTTTTACATTCGGCTTCCCTTTAAAATTCTGGCTTCACATCGTGCCTTTTCTGCCATAATCCAGAGTAGGATGTTACAAGTAGCCATGCAGCTTCCTTAATGCTTTGCTGCTTAGAAATTTCTTCCACCAGGTACTCTGGTTCACAGCTCCTAAGTTCTAACTTCCACGAAGCCCTAGGGCATGGACAGAATGCTGCCAAATTCCTTGCCAGTTCTCAGTCAGGGTGATCTTTGCCCCCATTTCCAATAAATTCCTTCTTATTTCTACCTGAGACCTCCTTAGAATGGTCTTTACAGACCATACTTCTATCAGCATTCCGCTCACCACCATGTAACCAGTCTCTAAGACATTCCAAACTTTCCCTGCCTTTTTGTCTTCTTCTGAGTCCTCTGACGCTGGGAAGTCCAAAGTCCATCTGGTGGTGGTGACAGTGACCTGGGGTCTCATATTGGCAAGATGGTGGAAGCAGAGCGAGCAGAGAGAACGAGACTCTCATCTTCTTTTTAGCCCTCAGAGCTGTGCCCATTTTTAATCCATTCACTACTGCAGGATCCTACAATCTAATCA